TTCACTATCATACACATCACCACCAGCAATCTTCTGGAAAGGTAGAAAGAATGACTCAAACCTTAAAGGAAACTTTAGGGAAAATTAGTCAATCTGTTTCCCTTAAGTGAGTAAAAGCCTTACCATTAGCATTAATAAAGATCAGAAGTTCCCCAAATAGCAGATTTAATTATACTCCTTTTGAACTGTTTAGATGAAGGATACCCTTAATGATTCCATTTCCTTTAATGATTCCCTCTCCTATGATTCCAGATACTGAGGAAAACTTACCATTAAAGGACAAACTTGATCAGGAACTCATAAGTTCCATAAAGGAAATAGGGAGCTACTAAAAAATATTACTATATGTCTTTCTAAATCTCCTGTTCATTCTTAGGTTCCAGGAGATTGGTTCTATGTTAAGATATTCAGAAGGAAGAATGACCTAGCTCTTCAGTGGAAAGGACTCCCTCAAATGCTGTTAATAATCAACACTGCTCTTCCAGTAACAGAGAAGCCCTCCTAGATACGTGTGGCATATGTCAAGCCAGGACTGGGACCCAAGTGGAAGTGCCCTGAACACCAAGGAAAGACAAAAGGGAAGATCGCCAAAAAGTGACCCCTCTGCTACCATGAGGAACTGAACCTAAGGAATTCAGACACAGAGCCACCCATCCTTGCATATCTTTTTGCATAGTAGCATTTGTAATTGTTTGTTTAATAGTGGCGGGATTTATAGTTGAATGATCTCTATAATCTTATCTTGAAAGTAATGGTTAAAAAGTTGTCCAAAGGACACACAACAAGGTCTACAAGGTATTAATTTCAGTGGTTTATAGTCTCATTAGTGTTAAGTTTAGTTTTAGTTTAGGGACAGCTAGGTGGTGTTGCAGATGGAATGCTCGTCCTGGAATGAGGAAGATTCATCTTCCTGAGTTCAAATCTGGCCTCAGACATGTATTTGCTATGTGACCCTAGGCAAGTCACTTAAACCTGTTTGCCTCAGTTGTCTCATCTGTAAAATGAGCTGCAGAATGCAATGGCTAACCAGTCCAGTATCTTTGCCAAGAAAATTCCAAATGGGGTCATGAAGAGTTGGATGTGACTGAAACAGCAAAAACAAATGCTATTGGATTTTAGAGTTGATGGCAGGTGGTGAAGTATAAGAAGACTGGAAAGGTAGCAAGAGGTCAAGATATGTAGGGTTTAAAAGTCAAACAGAGGATTTTCTATTTGATACTGGAAATAATAGGGAATAAATGAAGTTATTTGAGCTAGATGTCTCAGGAGATAGAGTGCTGGTCCGGAAGTCAGGACGAAGTGAATTCAAATGTGGCTTCAGACAGTTACTAGCTATGTAGCCTTAGGCAACTCACTTAACCTTGTTTGCCTCGGTTTCCTCATCTGTAAAATGAGTTGGAGAAGGAAATGGCAAACCACTCCATTATCTTTGCCAAGAAAACCCAAATGGGGGTCACAAAGAGTTGGACATGACTGAAAAATGGCTGAATAACAACAATAGTTCTGATTATTACAGAGAACTGGGATTTTACACTAGTCTTTTTTTTCGAGGCAATCAAGGTTAAGTGACTTGCCCAGGGTCACACAGCTAATGAATATCATGTGTCTGAGGCTAGATTTGAACTCAGGTCCACCTGACTCCAAGGCTGGAGTTCTATCCACTATGTCACTTAGCTTCTCCAAAAATCTTTTGACAATGGGGTTAAGTGACTTGCCCAGGGTCACACAACTAGTGAGTATTTTATGCCTGAGGCCAGATTCAAACTCAGGTCCTCCTGACTCCAGGGCCAGTGCTCTATCCACTGCACCTCCTAGCTGCCCTACATTGGTCTTTTAAACTAATAAATATGGAACTCTGTGTGGGAATAATTATGCTGTTGACTCTTTTCCTTCAAAGCTTAAATTCCCAGAATAGAATATATGAGTTCAAATTTGCCCCCAATTATAGTGATCATAATATTACCCTTGGGAAGGTTCTATGGACTTATACTGCACCAGATCCCTTTGGAATTATTTCTGGGGAATTGACACACAAGATTACTTTCTTCTTATTTTCTATTAGCTCACAAGCCAGATAACTTTACTCCGAATAATGCCCATTCCAATACTTGGGGTCTAAGGTTTCCCAACATAGTGTAACTGAATGAACCCAGTGCAAATGGTTACTATATTAGCTGAATTATATAATAGAGTTGAATTTAACTCCACTGAAGTCAATAATACTGGAACTTTTGGACTGCTTCCTAATTGTTCTATAACTTTTACTTTTGTTGGGGTGTGGTAAATTGGACCACAGATGGTTGTAAGGATAATAAAGGCAGATGGTAGGGGTTGTTTCAACAAGTCCCCTGCAATATTGCCACCTACCCTGATAATTCAAATCATTCCTGTACGGCACCTGTTGCTTTATTCAGGTCATGGCAGGAGCCCATCCTCATCCTATTGGCCATAAAGAAATGCACCTTTTTTCTTGAATACCTCTCAAGCTAATATATCTAGACATAATTCTACCTGTAGGCCCTGGGTAAAAGAATTATGGAACTCTTATCAGAAAGAACTCAAATTACCTACTATTGCATTAAATAGGATCTTTTAAATACTGTATTGGGGGGTATTGGAACTGGAATGGGCATTGTGAATTCTTATGACATTGAGATCTTGAGTAACGAATTAAGTGCCCTAGGTCAACTATAAAGAGATTTTACACACCTACAACAAAATTAGCATCATAATATAGTGTGGTATATGAAGTATTCTGCTAAGATTATTTGGAATTAGACCAATCAATGGAATTTGACTAACTGGAATCAGTCTGAAGACCCTAACAATATTACTAAAATATTACTATTAAAACTAGTTTGGCCTTATCTTGCATAGTACACCAGCAAATGGCCACTCCGTAACTTGAAAAGATAACAATCTAGCTCTCAATTGACCAATTGTGGCTATCTGCAATCTAGAGCTCCAACTTCCTGACATTCCTAACTGCTATGGAAAGAGAGCCCAAAGGGGCAGCTAAGTGGCACAGTGGACAAGCTCTATTCTTGGAGTCAGGAGGACCTGAGTTCAAATTCAGCCTCAGGCACATGACACTTACAAGCTATGTGACCCTGGGCAAGTCTCTTAACCCTGATTGCTTCACAAAATATAAGAAGGAAAGACAACCCAGGAAAAAATCAAGACCAGGGATATTTGGACTTTACGTTTTGAAAGTACTGCTAACCATACCTTAATACCAGCTCTCCTGATTTTAAGGTGCAAATTCCATGCTTTGCTTATTCATGTTAACAAAACTAGATGAGTTCCAAATGTTTTAGGAGATTTAGTGGGTTGTAACAGGGACACAATGCTAGACTCGTCTGGATGTGAATGATATCCACAGGGCCTAGAGTGTCCTCAAGACCTATTTCTGGTGGAGCTATATTCCTTAGATTTCATACAAGGTATTTGTTTCCTTGGCAGCTACATGGCTCAAGTGGATAGAGAGCTGGGTCTGGAGTCAGGAAGACCTGAATTCAATTCCAGTCTCAGACACTAACTGTGTGACTCTGGGAAAGTCACATAACTTCTGTTTGCCTTAATCTACTGGAGAAGGAAATGGTAAACCACTCCAGTATCTTTATCAAGAAAATTCCAAGGACAGTATGGTACACAGGGTCACAAAGAATCAGACATGAATGAACAACAACAACAAGTTTGCTCCCTTCAGAAAACATGGCACAATCATATCTTGGTTTATGACAGTGGAAAACAAGATGTTTGCATTTTCTCTTTCCATAATTTAATCTGAGAAGATGATATCACTTTCAACTCAAGTAAACCTGTCTGTAGAGGAAATATTACCTATGTGATAGATAAAGTTTCAGGAGAAATTTACTGGACTATAATAGGGGAGAAAATGAATCTTCAAGGAAATTATGTTGTTCCTACCTTTTCTATAAAATTGATAATGAAATGGAATAAACTTCATCAAGAAATGAGAAATAACCATAAGGTGGTCCAGGTTTTGGAGGCTTATGGCCTCCAGGACAAGACACAATTTGTGCAAATGTTACATGATGAGAGTAAATTTCTGAATATAACTAAGAATATTCCCTCACTATATTTCATTGGCATTCACCATTAGGTGTTTTTTTTTTCCATTATCTGGTTATTCTCCTAAAGCTTTTGCTTCTTGTACTTATTTATCTACTCCATTGCAACATTACTTCTGTTCTTATATTCTTTTTTTTGGAGGGGGGGAGGCAAGGCGTTTGATGTTAAGTGACTTACCCAGAGTCACACAGCTAATAAGTGCTATGTGTCTGAGGCTGGATTTGAACTCAGGGCCTCCTGACTCTAGGGCCAGTGCTCTATCTACTGCACCACTTAGCTGTCCCTTGGTTCTATATTCTTACCACGTGTATCTACCCTTAACAGCTCAAACTGAAGTGCTAGATGATACATAGTCTTACCTACACTCGCTAACTCATGTCCTATCTACCAATTATGCAAAGTTTTTACTTTGAAATTCTAGTAAATTTCATTTTTCTCTAACATCTACCAGTTGTTACTGAAAACTAATCAGAAGGCTTTGAATTTTTATATTTTTCACAAATGAACTCAAAAGTCAATTGGTTTAAACTCTTCTTTTAGAAGATTTTTTTTGACAAGATGGAAAACCATGGTTTGAAATTTCATAAGAGAACTAATAAGTTTTTACAGCTAATACTTTTACATTATTTTTGGTGACAAAACTATAGTTATAAAATGTTTGGCAAATCATGATAGCTTCATACTATCATTAAGTAGTAGATAGTAGATGTAAATTCATATTTCAAGTAATCTTTTAGATCATTTCAATTTTATTGGCCAACTTTTATCAGATCTGATTAGCATTGTTTTTACTTCTGAGTAAAATGAGTTAGCTCAAGAAGAGCTGGTAGGAGAGGAAACGCGAATTGGACCGAGGCGGCGACAGAGTGGGAGAGCGCGGGGCTGCAGGCCCAGCGGATCTCACCATGGGTGACGTGGAGAACGGTAAGATCTTTGTTCAGAAGTGCGCTCAGTGCCGCCCGGTGGAGAAGGGAGGCAAGTACAAGATGGGGCCCAACTTGAACGCCCTCTTTGGCCGAAAGACGGGCCAGTCTCCCGGCTTCTCCTACGTAGAGGCCAACAAGAACAAAGGTATCGTCTGGGGAGAGGATACGTTGATGGAGTACCTGGAGAACCCCAAGAAGTACATCCCTGGAACCAACATGATCTTTGCAGGCATTAAGAAGAAGGGAGAAAGGGCAGACTTGATAGCATACCTTAAAAAGGCCACCAACGAGTAATGGCTGTCTGCTGCCTTATTTATTATAAAAAGAAGATGTCTCTCTTGTGATGAGATTGCTTTTCTTTTTTTATATGTATTATAATAATCCTATTTAAATTGGTTTCATCAACCAGAGAATTTTGATCATGAATGGCTGTTCAAAAATTTTGTTCAGCAGTGCTAATAAAGGAATGGTCATAATTACAGCCACACACACAAAAAAAAAAAAAGAAAAGAAAAAAAAAGAAAGAAAAGAAGAACTGGCAGGACTAAGAGAAATGTCAGCTTTATCATTTTTTTGTTTCTTTAGCATTCTATTTTCCCCAGTTACATGTAAAAACAATTTTTAACATTTGTTTTTAAAATGTTGAGTTCCAAGTTCTCTCCCTTTCTCTGTCCCCAACCACCCTTCATTGAGAAGGCAAGCAATTCAATATAGGTTATACATGTGTAGTCATGCAAAAAATTTCCATAATAGTCATATTGTGAAAGAAAACATAGACAAAAAAACTCAAGAAAAATAAGGTAAAAAAGTATGCTTCAATCTGTATTCAGACACCCTCAGTTCTTTCCCTGGAGATGGATAGTATTTTTCATCTTAAGTCCTTCAGAATTGTCTTGAATTGTTGTATTTCTGAGAATAGCTAAGTCATTCACAGCTGATCATCTTACAATATTGCTGTACCTTTGTACACAGTACATTCACTTTGCATCAGCCCATGCAAGTCTTTCCAGGTTTTTCTGAGAGCACCTTGCTCATCATTTCTTATAGTACACCATCATAATCACATACCACAATTTGCTCAGCCATTCCCCAATTGGTGAGCATTCCCTCAATTTCTCATTCTTTGCCCCTAGAAAAGAGCTACTATAAATATTTTTGTACATAAAGGTCCTTTTCCTTTCTGTTTTTTTATCTCTTTCGGGATACAGTTCTAGTAGTGGTATTGCTATGTCAAAGGCTATGCACAGTTTTATAGCCCTTTGGGCATAGTTCCAAATTGCTCTAAAGAATGGTTGAATCAGTTCATGCATAACTCTACCAATGGTGCATTAATGTCTCATTTTCCCCACATCCCCTCCAACACTTGTCATTTATCTTTTCTGTCCTATTAGTCAATCTAATAGGTATGAAGTAGTACCTCAGAATTCCTTTAATTTGCATTTCTCCAATCAATAGTGAGTTAGAGCATTTTTTCATATGGCTATAGATAGCTTTGATTACTTCATCTGAAAACTGATCATGTTTTTTGATCATTTATCAGTTGGGGAATGGCTCTTTTTATTGACTCAATTCTCTATATCTTTGAGAAATGAGGTCTTTATCAAAGAAACTTCTTTCAAAAATGTTTTCAGTTACTATTGCTAACTGCATTTCCTTTCATCTTATTCCCCCAATTCATTCTCTTCTCTCTCCCCTTTCACCCTGTCCCTCTTCAAAAGTGTTTTGCTTCTGACTACCCCCTGCCCCAATCTGCCCTCCCTTCTATCATCTCCTCCCTTCCCCTCTTATTTTCCTGTAGGGTAAGATAGATTTCTATATCCAATTGAATGTGTAGGTCACTCCCTCTTTGAGCCAATTCTGATGAGAATAAAGTTCACTCACTCCTCCTCACCTCCCCCCTCTTCCTCTCCACTATAAAAGCTTTTCTTGCCTCTTTTATGTGAGATAATTTACTTCATTCTACCTTTCCCTTTCTTTCTCCCAGTACCTTCCTCTCTCACCCCTTAATTTTATTATTTAGATATCATCCCTTTATATTAAACTTATACTTGTGACCTCAGTGTGTGTGTGTGTATATGTATATGTATGTATATATGTATATGTGTGTGTGTATATAAATATATATCTATATCTATAGATATATGTAGAAATTCTCTCCAACTATTCTAATACTGAGAAGGGTCTCATGAGTTACAAATACCATCTTTTTATGTATGAATGTAAACAGTTCAACTTTAATAAGTCCCTTATGATTTCTCTTTCTTGTTTAACTTTTCATGCTTCTCTTGAATCTTGTATTTGAAAGTCAAATTTTCTTTTCAGCTCTGGTCTTTTCATCAAGAAGGCTTGAAAGTCCTCTATGTCATTGAATATCAATTTCCTCCTCATTGATTACACTTAGTTTTGCTGGGTAGGTGATTCTTGGTTTTAATCCTAGCTGTTTTCACCTCCAGAATAACATATTCCAAGCTTTTTATGATCCTTTAATGTAGAAGCTGCTAAATCCTGTGTTATCCTGACTGTGGCTCCATGATACTTGAATTGTTTCTCTCTGGATGTTTGCAACATTTTCTCCTTGACCTGGGAACTCTGGAATTTGGGTACAATATTCCTTGGAGTTTTCATTTTGGGATCTCTTTCAGGAAGTAATTGGAAGATTCTTTCAATTTCTATTTTGCCCTCTGGTTCTAGAATATCAGGGCAGTTTTCCTTGATAATTTCTTGAAAGATATTTTCCAGGATCATCTTTTGACTATGGCTTTCAAGTAGTCCAATAATTTTTAAATTATCTCTCCTGGATCTATTTTCCAGATCAGTTACTTTTCCAATGAGATATTTCACATTGTCTTCTATTTTTTCATTCTTTTGGTTTTGTTTTATTGTTTCTTAATTTCTCATAAAGTCATTAGTTTCCACTTGCTCCATTCTAATTTTCTAGTGAGCTTCAGTGAGTTTTTGGACCTCCTTTTCCATGTGGCCAATTCCGCTTTTTAAAGCATTCTTCTCATTTGCTTTTTGAATTTCCTTTACTATTAGTCTGTTTTTAAAGGTGTTATTTTCCTCAGTATCTTTTTATATCTCCTTTACCAAGTGTCTCCTTGACTCTTTTTTCATAGATTTCTTGCATCACTCTCATTTCTCTTCCCAATTTTTCCTCTACCTCTCTTTCTTGATTTTCAAAATCCTTTTTGAGGTCTTCCATGACCTGGGACCAATTCATATTTTTCTTGGAGGCTTTGGATGTAGGAGTTTTGACTTTGTTGTCTTCTTTTGAGTATGTGTTTTGATCTTCCTTGTCACCATAGTAACTTTTTATAGTCAGAGTTTTTGCACTGTTTGCTCATATTCCCAGCCTATTTCTTGACTGGTGAGTCTTTATTAAAGGAGTGCTCTGCCTCCAGGTTGGAGAGCACACTGTCCCAAGCTTTAGGGGTTTTGTGCAGCTGTTTTCAGAGATACTTCTAGGGACCTATAAGTTTTCAGTTCTTCCAAGGTGGTATGATCTAAAGAGAGATGTTTACTAGTCTCCTGGCCTGTGCTCTGGTCTGTAAGTGACCACAAGTACTCTTTTCTGTCCTGGAACTATGGGGAGGGTCCCCTCTCCACTGTGGCCACAAGCTGGGCTATGCTATTGCTCCTCCTTGCCCTGTGGCTACTCCCAGGACTGCAACCTGGATGTGAGTATGAGCAAAGCAATAGAGTCCTGTCGCAGTGCTAGCAAAAAGATCCCTGTAATCTCCTTCTGACAAGTTGTTCAATCCCCTCCTCTTACCATCTATGGGCTGACAGCTCTGGATGCAGCTGCTGCTGATTCAGTCACTCCCAGGGCCTGCTCCTGGTTTGCTGTGGCCAGGGCTCTGCTGGTATGTCCTGCAGTGCACTGCACTCCACTCACTCTCACCTAGATGTGACAGACCTTTCCTGCTGACCTTCTAAGTTTTCTTGGGTTAAAAACATGTTTCTCTCCATCTTTTTGTGGGTTTTGCTGCTCTAGAGTTTGCTTAGAGTTATTTTTTAAAGGTATTTGGAGGGTTTGGGGGAAGAAGTCAGACTAGTCCCTACCTTTACTCTGCCATCTTGGCTCTGCCTCCCCTATCATTTGTTGACTTTAACCCACAATTTCATGGCAATAATCCAGTGCTTATTAGCACAGTGCCTGACATATAGTTGGTGCTTAATAAATGTTTATTGATTGATCTTTTAAAGCCCCTTATCTTTTTTTTAGATTTAACCTAGTTTGTAGGTTCATAGAGACATAGATTTAGAGATGGAAGGGATCTTTGAGGTTGTCTAATCCAATCCCATCATTTTACAAATGATGAAACTGAGGCACAAAAATATAAAGTAACTTGCCCAGAGGACACAAAGGGAGTAGATGGAAGAGCAAGGACTTGAACTCAGTTCTTCTGACTCAAAATCCAGCTGTCTTTCCATTCTACCATGCAGTTTCCTAATTTTAAAGAGATAGCATGCTGTATGGAAAAGAAAGCTGGAGTAAGAGTCAGGAAGATCTGGGTATAAGTCCTGCTTTTGATATACATTGGCTGTATCATATGAGAGAAGTCACTTAACCTCTGAGTACCTAGGCAACACAAAACTATAGGTTGAAGAGAAAATGCCTTAGTAGAGGGAGCTTCCTCACAGGTAGTTCTTTATACCAATGTTTAGTTGAAAGAGATAATATACTTCATTTTATTGTTGATAAGTCATTTTCAGTCACGTCTGACTCTTTGCGACACCAATTAAGGTTTTCTTGGCAAAATACTGATGTGATTTGCCGTTTCCTTCTCTAGCTCATTTTATAGATTAGGAAACTGAGGCAAATAGGATTAAGTGATTTTTTTCCCAGGGTCACACAGCTAGTAAATGTCTAAAGCCAGATTTGAACTTGGGAAGATTAGTCTTCCTGACCCCAGGGCCAGCACTTTATCCACTGCACTGCCTAGCTGCCCTCAATAATACTTCATAAAATCACTTAGTTGCACATAAACATATATCACACTTTAGATGTTATGGGCCTAGAGTGGATATTTCATAGCAACTGTGCAAGTTAAGCAAACAGAAAAAAAAATTCCCATGATTTTGGGCTTCTGACATCAAATTGGCCCATGAGACTGCTAGGTCATAAAAATTAGAAGGTAGAAATTATCTCAAGTTATCAAGAAGTTTATTGATTATCACATGCAGGAGCCAGAATGCATCCATGTAGGCTGAATACATGTATGTAGGTTGCCCATGCAAGAGACTATGAAATTTCCCCTAAATCTCCCTAATTTTTATACCTTGATCAAACAACTCTGGCTTCTTCTTTTTACCAGACATT